ATCAGCTTTCTCTACCATGTCACTTGCATTCTAGAGCTCTCCTAAAGGAATAGATGTCCACGCATCATTGGTAAGTCATTATTTCTGTTGGGAGAGGAAGGTTGGATTCTTGTGCTCTGCCATCTCATTGATGCTCATCTCATTTTTTGGCTGTTCTTTTCTTAGTATCTAAGGCTCCCTAGTGACTATTTCCCTGAAGGTTGTATTAGAAAGGAGATTCCTCAGAGACTTTATGTCCTTTACTAAGCCATCTTTAGGGCACTTTCTATTGCAAGGGCCTTTCAGGCAAAGAGCAGTGCCCTCATAAAGACTGAGCAAATTGAGAAAAACAGAGATAGGATTCTACCCTGGTGCTCAGCCTGGTGAGTCTTCTCTGTCTCCGAGCTCCCAGGTGAATCCTCACAACACAGTGATGGACCAAGTGATAGAAGGTAGACAGAGAGAAGGAGACAAAAAAAATGGAGAAATGAGACTAAGGCTGAAGCTTAGAGAATGAATAGGATCACAGCTCAAAAGAGTCACATGATAATACTAAAGGCATTTGTAATTCAAACTGCCACCATTTTGTATATCTTTAAGGAAACCCAGTCTCCTGACATCTAAAAATAATGATATCTTAGCATCTTGGAAATATTTCAAGACACATTGCCTTTAAGATAAAACATCTCAGAATAACTGTATGTTTAAATTACTGACATATTTTGGGTCATTTGTGCATATTATTTCTATTTTGTTGATGATAACAAGAAGGGTAGATGTTAAAGTAGTTGTGCAAGTCACACAGCTGATAAGTACTGCCTACTAATGTTGTTCCTTCTATAATAATAAGGTGGGGCTCGAGTCCAACATGGAGGCATGCAGAGAGATCAAGTCTCTGACATCTTCAGCTATGTGGGCATAGGGAGTCGTAAACAATCTAAATTCTGTTTGCTCAGGATCACTAGGCAATGCTGAGCTGACGTGAATCTGGGGCGAGCAGTCTGGACAACTTCATTGAAGGAGACAACTTCATTGAAACCTGCGGCTACAGGTGTGTAATTCCCTAGCCTTCCCTCTCCACACATTGGGGAAACCTTAAGGGCCCCTCCCAGCTCTCCCGTGAGCGCGATACCAGACCAAGGGAATCAGACGTGCTGCGGGACCCGCGACGCGGAACTCCCTGCTACCGCTCCCACCAGTGTTGACAACCGAGATCTCTTGCACCAGCTACCAGGGGTGTGGCTACTGGAGGGCAAGTAAAATTCGCTGAGGATTCTCAGCCCCAAGCTCTACAAACTTAGGATCTGAGGGAATGGCAAACAGGGAGAGTGTGCCCAGTCTTTTATGACAACAGGGCTCCCGGGAGCAGCAGACCTGGCGTGTACCCAGTATTGTGGTGAGCGGCACTGGTGAGAGGGGCCTGGCTAGAGAAAAAGTGGGGAAGTGACTAGACACAAGAGGAGGCCCTAGGCACTCAGGATTGGAGACTAGCCCAGGCTGGGAGGAGGAGCTGCTGCACAGTGATTGGTTCCTGCGTATTGACAGGAGAAACTTGGCCTGGTGGGCACAGCACCACCTACTGGAAGAGAAGTTAATCAAACTCTAAGACTGCATTTATTAG